AAAGATGTAAACACTAGCATTTCACTTTTTATTGCTAACAAAACATGAAATCATTTCAGTTTGTCACTGTTGGACCAAAACAGAAACTGCACATGACACATTTCCCTTTCTAAGGTTTTCTGAATGTTATAAACCAAATTTCCAGTGACCATGGTTTTATAAAATGCCTGATTTGTAAACAGTGGCGACTTGTTGTCCTTCCATGCAAAATGTCTCTGTCTGAAGTGTTGTAGTTTTTTACTTTACTTTACTTTTTTACTCTTGGTTTGGTGATTCATAAAGAAATCGTAAGATAAAAACACTTTGCACCTGGGCAACATGTGGTACAAGACTAACTTGAAAAGATGTTAATTGTAATTATTTTCTGTTTTCTGTCTGCTTCTAATGAAATTTTAATTATCAAATGGGACACTGTCTTATGACTTATGTATGTCTGCAAAACTACTGACTCTTAGGTTCTCTTGAGTATTTGCTGTCTGTGAGTTTGTACTAATACTTGGACTAATTATGGAGTTTTTGTAAACATTTTCTATTGATATGAGGTCTTTTCTTTAATAAAGGTGATTTTGTTCATTCCTCTTCTGTCATCTTCAACATCCTTTGTCCAGAATATCATTAATCTTGTTATGCACAGGTCCATCTAAGCCTTGCCTCTCATTAGCGGTTCCCCCACCTCAAGCTCCGTATCCTGTATTTATTGTTAGTGCCACCATCTCCAAATGTCAGGTCTCGATACTGTGTTGTGAATAATACCCAAATCAGATACAGTAAAAGATTTAAATTCAAGATTACATTGGTAAAATGTTCATCTCCAAGCATGAGTCTGGAGGGATGTAAATGTGTTTTCCCCAAATTCGACTCATGGCTCACACCTTTGAATCAATAAAACACGATTAAAGGCGAGCTGTTTGGTATGAAAACCCCAGAAATTCAAACTTCAGTTCAAAACAAATGCAATTTATTTGATGTTTTATATATCAAGTCCACAAAGGAACTTCATTTACGACGTGTGACGTTGGCTTTACACGTAACCGGAAAGGAGGGACTTTAACTGAACAAACCTGGCAACCCCGGCTGCCGGTTTTATCAGTAGCTACTGAGGGGAAGATGGTGGACTTGGCGACTACAGCGTGCTCAAAACTCCGTCCCAAACGCTTTGAAAAATACTTACCATCTCACCCTAATATTAGATATAGATTACCCGGGGAAAATCATAGATAATACACCGGGGCAGCTGCTAAAGACAGCCACTTTTCCGCCAACAGACAACTCTTTATTCATAGACTGAAGAAAGCGAAAAGTTACGGAACGTGGTGTTGGTTGGTGATCGTAACGGAGGCTAGCCAGCGATAACACGAAAGCAAGTGGCTTAAAAACCATCAACAACCCCCTAACCCTTGTAAATACGAACAGGCTGCAGTTCCTGCTGTTTTCACGCCCGTCGTTCAAATCCTTGAGCTAGCTAACCTCAGCTAGCTTTGTTGTGAAACGGAGGATCAAAGCTGCTCGAAATGCCGCGGAGTAAGACGGGGAAACGTGGCTCCGGTAAGCCGGGTAAGTAGCAATAGCAGCCATGCTAACTCGAGCTCAAGCAGGAATATGAGGGAATAGAAGTCTGAATACGGTTTGAACAGATCTAGCAGTACACTTGGAAGAAAGACTAGCAGTTTGAAGCAGGGGTATTTTTGCCATATGGAATAGACGCTAACAGACGGGCAGCCTGTTGCTTCCTAACTTTAGCATGCGAGTTGTTTTGCACCCTGTCGTGCACATCCATGTGGGTATAATCAGTGCTACAGCTTAGCAGTGCAGTCTGCATTTGCTTGGCGTTAATGCTAAAGTCAGTTTGACACTAATAAGCGCGAGGAGCGGTCCAGGAAAGCTTGATGCATTTTTAATAGCTGCAGACTTCTGCATTGAGAATTATTATTTAAGCTCAATTACATATGAATGCATCAATAAATGCAAAAAAAGGTTGCAATACAGAAGTGAATGCCCATTTTTCATGTTTTCTTCTCCATCATGGCCATTCTTGCATTACATTCACCTTCCCGTCCGTTCATGAACCTGTCCACTGCTCTTGCTCCAAATATACAATCTATTTCAACCATCCGTTCATTCCATCATGTCCAGGCTCTCTCCGTCAGGAAGTTCTTCAGCTGCAGCTGTCGACTAAGGCGTCACTCAAAGGTAACTCCTCTGACTCTTGACTCCCGACCCCAGCTTCTACATCTGGTTCTAACCTTGTCCAGAAGTTCTTGAACCTCATGATAGTGCATGCAGCAAATCAAACGACCATGTCGTTGTCGTCTATTCCAGCTGCACTCTTCCTTCTGCGTGCCTTGGCTGTTCACTTTAATAAGATGTAGCAGTTATATCTGAATGTTCTCATTCTTTGTGTGCACGTCTCACGTGAACACCATGCACTTGTCCTGGCTTTAAGGCAAGATTAAAAGATAGACATTACAGAAGTATGAATGTCATCTAATGACTTTTGACCTTTTCATCCAGCCGTCCTGCTGCACTTACAGGTGTTTGGTTTATTTATTCATTTAAAAAAAACTTTTCTTGTTTTATCACCATCTACTCTGATCTTGAACTGGAATTTTTCCTCTTCTTACCTGCACTAATACCATAAACAATTATTTGTTGCTTCCTGTGCGACTATGTCATGTGTAAGCAATGTCATGTCAGCGTGACATTCTGGACGCTGAGTTAAAGTCACTGGTGACACATTGCTCTATGTGGCAATCCCTAACTTACTGTCACATGTTCCTTATTAACACATAATATAATCATGTTTGAGCTTCCTTTGAAACCCAAAGCTTTCTGCAAACTTTAATGTACGGGATGGATGGACAGGGAGAATTTCAGTGTAAATTTTTGAAGTTGTTTAATTTATGCAGGATAACAGGATTTAAAGTTATGAGCCACAGTTCAGCAATAATCCCCAGCTGGTAGAAACATGGGGAAACCAAGTATTTTACATGCTGGTCCAAAGTGTAAGTGTGGCTAAAGGAAGAATCCCAGATTACAGAGGATAGGCTTAAGAAAAGAAGAAGGAGAACCAAAGCATTTCATTATCTTTGGGAAGAGGCCAACAGGGGTAGAAACAAGAACCACGTGTATTGTCAGTATTTAGCTTTATTCAGATAATTCAGTAGTACAGTGCTTTAAATAATCTACTTAAAAATAGTGCGAAGCTGACAATATGCAGATATAAATATCATTAAAATTACTTATTTGCCAGGGAGAAGGCAAGTACAGTGCTAACAGGATGGGGCCCAGGATACAACCTTGTGGAACACCTCATATTATTCAGTTGATGAAGGATAATTGTGAGAAATGACTGACAAAGTCCTATGTGAGAGAGATACAAAGACAACCTTTTAAAGCTATCTTTAACCTCTCAAGCAATAAATGATTGTGAATGGAGAAAGCACTGACAACCAGCAGTACCAGTAGAGAATACTTCTACATATTCCAGTAGAAACAGACTATTTAAACTCTAAAAACAGTAGTTTTTGTTATCGATGCAGATTTATGCATCGGTTTCCTGCAACACTCCGCGTGGTGTGGTATTTTAAGTTGAAGAATTTAGTTTTCCTTCAAGGTCTGTTTCTGGATGACTTCAAACAGGGGTTGCAGTTTTAGAACAAGCGCTGACGGTGAGAAAAATAGATGTCTGAATACTAGCTGTGCTGCTTGACTTCTCCAACTGTAGGGGTAGTGATCCATTCAGATGTTTAGCAAAGTGCCTGCAAGGAGAATGCAGGTTAATTTAGCCGTTGGAGTCCTATGTCTTCCATCTATAGCATGTGGGCTGTTTAAAAAGCTCCCACCTCCTCGGCTCGAATCTGTCAGCAGAGCCTTATTTCCAAGTGGCCGACCAACTGCTGGAGCCGTGTGAGTGACTGCTACGTAAGCATAAAGTGGCAATGTGGAGAGGACACGTGAGTCCTGGCGGGGAGCTCACACTTCACTAACTGAGCTGTGTGTGGGCAGGCCTGCGTAGGAAGGTGTGGAGCTCTGTGTAACCAGTGAAGTGACCAGCAGTTCAAGGATGGTGACTGGGAAACTGCCGACTGATATTGGCCCACAGAGTGTGTTATCTCAGCTACCAACAGTATGTTTGCCTCGGGCCATTCTGTCAGAGTAATCAGAACATCACATAAGGAAAGCGCACTTCAAGGAACGCTGTTTCGATCATCGTCTTTTTTTCCTGAATTTACATTTTTTCCTGTATTTCCTCATGTGTTGTTTCACAATTATTTAAAAGAAAAGAGTTATGTGATTATTAACTATTAAGTAGAGAGCAGTTGTTGCTAGGAATCATGAACCGATTCTTGGTAGAGACATTTGGTGTAGTGGCAATAATACCTGCTACACCCAAATATTAGGTGTAGCAGTTGTTGCTCGTACTGTTTCCAGAGCCTTTAAATGATGGATAGGAATTAATCAGCAATGATGACAAAGGAATTAAGCAGTGCTTGGCTTGTGAATACAGGTAAGAAACTCTGTAAAGGAAAGGTAAAACTTAAGATCTGACAACAGTGCGTCAACAACTGAGTCCACTCCAGTCAAATGGCTGAACTTTAGCCTAGTTTACACTCTTTACTCTGAGGTCAAACATGGTCCTAGTTTCTTTTCATTTCTTTTTATCTGGGAAAACAGGTGGAAATAACTACAAGATATTGCAAAATGTGTCAACAAAGTTTGTGTATTTGCTGTGCTTTTGTGTTTGGTATT